CGCTGCCCCGCGCCGCTCTGGGTGCTGCTGCCCTGGTGCGCGGCGCTGGCGGGCGCCGACAACGCGAGCCAGGCGTACTACACGGCGCTGCTCAACGTCACGGTGCTCAGCCCCGAGCGTGGCGGCCCCGCGCTGCTGCGCCTCGACCGCGGCCGCTACGGCCAGGACTCGCCCAAGGTGGAGGTCAGGGGCCTGCTCGTGGCCCCCGGGCCCATCAACGGAGGTGGGTAGCGCCGCGGCCCAACAGCGGGGTCCTGCCTCAGCGTCACACCTGTCTGTGTGGGTGTGGAACGGGGTCCTGCCCAAGCATGAGACCTGTGTGTGTGTGGGGAACGGTGGGGGGATGTAACAGGATCCCTGCACAAGCATGGGACCTGTGTGTATAATGTGTGTGTGTGTGTAATGGGGGTCCCTGCCCAGCCATGAGATGTGTGTGTGTGGAATGGGGGGGAGGGTGTAACAGGATCCCTGCACAAGTGTGGGACCTGCGTGTGTGTGTGTGTGTGTGTGTGTGTAACAGGGGTCCATGCCCAGCCATGAGATGCGTGTGTGTGTAATGGGGGTCCCTGCACAAGCATGACATGTGTGTGTGTGTCTGTGTAACAAGGGTCCCTGCTCAGCCATGAGACCTGTGTGTGTGTGTATTTATAGATGCACTTCTGTCTTTGTGGAGCCTGTGTTTGTAAGGGGCGCAGGCCCCATCAGCTGCTCCCTGTTTGCACCCCTGTGCAAGGGCTCTTGCAGATGGGAGCTGGAGGGTGTCTTGCCTTAGGACGCTTGTCTGTGGCTCTCCCAGCCATGCAGCTGCTCCACCAGCGCCCTGAGAAACCGGTGCCTCAAAGCCGAGGGTGGCCTGGCCCGGCTCGGCCGGTACGCTCCAAACTGAACCATCCAATGTGAGGGAGGTCACATCTAGTCCAACCCCCTGCTCCAAGCAGGACCAGCCCCAGCTACATCATCCCAGCCAAGGCTTTGTCTAACCGGGTGTGAAACACTTCCAAGGATACAGCTTCCACCTCCTGTCTGGGCAGCCTCTTCCGGTGCTTGACACCCTGATGTTTTCACCCCCCTGCCTTTTGCAAGGTGGCTGAACCAGCCCAGCTTTTCATCCTTGTGTCTCGCTCTGTTCTGGCCTGTGAAACCCTTGGGGGTTCTTTTTGACTGGTGTCTGATAACCAGGTCGAGACGCTGCATTCGTAGAGGATGGTTTGGATCGGGGTGACCTCCGGAGGTCCCCTTCCAGCCCTGCTCCTCAGCCTCTTAACCGTGCCCCTTGCACAACAGTGTCGTCTTAAGAGGTGCGATGTGCTTTTAGCCTCATTTCTTTTATTAGCGTTCTGAAACCGAAACATGACAGACAGTTGCTTGCTTGCTGATTTTTTAATTTTTTTTTACATGGCAGTTTGGGGGGTGGTTTTTAGCCAATGTAATATAACTATTCTAGTTTTAACTTGGTTTTTTAATTATGCTGATCTAGCCAAAGCTGAAACTAAAGTCTGTTACCTAGAAAAAGATGGATTCTCTTGCCTTAGGTATCTCTGCTTTCTTTGGCTGTAGACAGTACATCACAATAGGTTCTCAAATTGCCACCTTTCTTGGAAAATGGACTGACTTGATGGAGTGCATCTGGCCCCGGCCTGGTTTCTGGACACTGGACTTAAGAGACCAGAAAATGGATTATTCTTTCAAAGTAACCTTACACGCTCATCATGAAGGCGTACACTTTTTTTAAGAGCTGAGATGAAGAATACCTTAACATGCTTTCAGGCCATGTATTTCTAAAGTATAATTGGGGGTTGGGCGAAGCTAGTGTGTTAAATCTTAATAGCATATTTTGATGCTTGACCAAGCTGAAAACATGATGTTTTGGATGTTTTTAAGATTATGATACTGCTGCATCTTTAAGCAATAAAAGTGTTTCAGCTAGAGATTTTTTTTTTTAAATCTGTTTATAGCAGTCTTTTCTGATATGATACAGTACCTGCCAAAGAGTGAAAAGCCCTTGTTCAGGGGATGATTGTATTTTAACTGGAAGCCCATAAGAAGAGAAAATCTGAACAAAATCTTAGCAGTCCATAAACATCTTTTAGTATACTGTACTAAAGCATAGCATGACAAATAACTTCAGCTAGGTAGCATGGTGAATCATGAAATTGCAGAGCTCTGAATTATTGCAGTTTTGACATGGTGTAATCATTAAAATTTGATATGTCATCAGTTGCTGAGCAGGTTCAATTCAGTCCTTCAGCTCTTCAAAAGAAGGCTGTGAAGGTATGCACAGCTGCCTTCCACTCCTCCTTAACCCCTTAAGAATTGTTCCAGGGTATACTTTAAGCCTTGCACGTTTTGCTTGAATTTTGCCACAGCATGCTTTCACATAGGTAAAAAATAATAGTATCATGCAATCGTTCATCTAGCATGGAGAATATTGAAATTCATATTTTCCTAGTTGATCCAAGATGCTTCTGTTTAGACATAATCATGCTTTTTTTATTTCCACCTGATGTGTTGTATTTGATAAGAGCCCTAATGTTTGCCCTCTGCCAGCATTTGCCCTAATGCCTTTATTATTGTCTGCTAGAAGGTGTTTTAATACCTCTTAACTAGAATAAACAGTATAATCTTCTGCTGAAATATGTCCTGTTCAGCCAAGTTCAGCTTCACGCTTGAGGTGAGCAGAAAAGGCCCCATGTCCCTGCTCTGATCATGTATGCAGACAGACTGGTAGTGAAGTTCGGGTTTGGTATCAGGCTCTCCATTCACTGTCTTGCATGGACTCTTATGTGAATCTGGTTGCTCAGAATTACTGATTCAATTTGGATCTGGCCTGGGGGATGGAAATGCCTCTGTGTACAAATATGATAGTTCTCTTTAGCTGCATAGAAGGAAGTAAATTAGTTGTGTATAGTGCTTTGGAGTCAGTCCTGAAAAGGTTAAACTACTAAACATGATGTTTTATGTGTTACCACTACTTATAATATTAAACAATATATGCTTGATTTGATTCTCATGACTGGGCCCTTTGCTTACTCAGTACTTTCTACATCAGCCACTTTTCCTTTTAAAATAAATAGTAAAAAAAGATTCGGTCCACTGTACCTCCCACATGGAGTCCTCATTCCCTTGAAGTTGTACTTACAGTATGCTATAATTTTCCTAACGCCAAGCATTTTTCCCTGTCGCTTCAAGTCTAGGGGAGACTAGACAGTGACCTTGCTGGGGTCACCTGACCCCCAGTTATCTTTCCTGCTTAGTGCAGGGGGCTGGACCCAGTGATCTTCCAAGGTCCCTTCTGACCTTACAATCTATGAATCTATCAGAATTGTTGGTGAAGTGGTTGGGTCTCAAAAGCTGTCCATTTGCCTCCTCCCTCCACCTCCCAGATATACCTGTAAAAGTAATTTACATTAGAGTCTGTAAATGTGAAGTGTAAATGTGTTAAGTTGGGTCATTTTGCTCATGTCACATTCAGCCTAGGCTACAAATAGTATGTTAAAAATGTCTCAGCTATCGTATTATTCACCATTATATCCTCTGTTTGCATGTCTTTGGGTTTCGTTCTCTTTGTCACTGGCTTGAAAGCTTAATTTTTAAAGACGTCAGAACAAAGTACATAATACACTCATATAACAATAAAAATGGCTTTTAACTGGCTTCCTAAATATAGATTACAATATGTACAGAATGGAAAGCATAGACTGTCTTTTGACATCAAAACAGAACAATAATAATAAAAGATCTTGTATAAGCCTGTTTTAAAGTTCCTTTGTTATCACCAGTAGGGCTGGTATAAATGCCAACCAAGTTTGTTCTATTACATACTATTTTATGTTAATGTTTTTATTCTGTCTGCCTATACATTTAATAATATGTAAATAAATCACATTCTCAAAGATCCTATTTTCAGTGGCCTGTAACTCTGCCACATTTTCGTAGCTTGAGCTGAAATTATTCAAACCGAGTGCTTGCCTGAAGCTAAAATTCTTCAGAAAACTTCAGTCAAACCAGATAAGTAACTTCTGGAAAACAGAGCTAGGTTGAGATGAGCAAGACTTTTTAATTCTGGTGGTAGTTTTCCGGGATGTAATTTCCCAATATAGTTGATCTCTACAAGAATATTTGTAATGGTTATGATGTCTATACTGTTTCAAACACCTTCTTACTACTTTCTTCATCTTTTAAAAGACATTTCAGAGGATGTAATTAAGGGACCATCCATATTTTATTTTTAGTGTTTAAAAAGTACTGTTACTGCTATGGGGACATGTGGTCATTAAGCTATGAACATTTTTATATTGGTAAAAATCAGAGTGAGAAGCTGTAGCACACCGTGGTATGGAGAAGGAACTTGAAATTTTCTTCTAGCATTTCTACTGGGGATGTGTAGTTTGTTCTCGTAAGTCAAATTTGGTCAAGTTAAAAACTTTTGAAAAACTTCGGTGGAGACAGTTGCAGTAGAAACTCCCTAGAGCTTTGCAGTTTAAATCCCCCTAAGGTTTTGTCCCCACCGACCATGCTTTCAGCCTGGGGCTGAAAAGGGGTTTTCCTGTAATGACTGTTCTGAACTGCTTCTCAAGCCATATCTGGGTGTTGGAATTAAGAATCGCAAGACTCTGTTCTGCACTCTCTACTGATGCTCAGACAGAATAGGGAGCAAAACAGAGGAGATGAGCTGCAGTGGAGAGTGTGATAGGGAAGTAGATCAGGACAAGAAAGGGGAAGAAGGAAGACTGGGAGGATAATTTGGAGTTGGAGGGGCGGGTGACAACCAGGACAAAGTGAGGGGGATTGGGATGCACTGAGCAAGAGGACTAGGATCAGAAGAGGGAACACAAAGAAAGTAACATCAGAGTTAGGCAATGACAGCATTGCAAGTGACTGGCCAATTCCCTTTTGAACCATAATATGTGTTCGTGGATTTCTCTGCAGGATGTATGTAATTCAGTGCCCAGAGTGTGCATGTAAGGCATGGCTACTTAAGCAGCTAACTCCTAGGTAAGCTAAGGAGTGAACTTCCAGTGTCAGCTGTTCTGCAGGCGGTTCCCATATGCACATGCTTCAGCCTATACAAGGTCACTTTTTCTGTTCTGAGTAAGCTACTTGCACTTACTATAAGGTCAGAGTAGCTCGTGTGCTGTGAGTTCACTTTAGTTTACCTATAGTAATTTGTTTGCAAAACCATACCCTTAGTGAACAATTATTTAATATTTTCATTAATTTTGT